GATAAAAATATAAAAAAATAAAAAAATAAAAAATATAAAGTATAAAATGTAAAATGTAAAATATTAATGAAATAAAAATAAATAAATTAAATAAAATAGAATAAAATAAAATGCAATAAAATGCAATGAAATTAAATAAAAGAATATAAAACAAAAGAAAAAGAAAGAAGAAAACCCATCCAAACCAAACGTAAATAAAAATATTTTTTAAAAAAAACGAATAAAACCAATTCCAGGTGATCTGTGTCAATAGATATAAAGAGAAACAAAATACAAAGCAAAAACTTCACAAAGAAATGTCCTCGTCACTGAGATAAACAAAAGGTCTCTGAGCTCTTCCTGGGACACGCCCTGAGCTGTGACTGCAGGAACTGCTCAGTCCTCATCAGCACTCAACACAGACTTTGCTTTCTGCTTCCTTTTTTTTTATTATTATTTATTTATTTTTTCCATTATATGCTTTTTTTTTTTTTTTTAAGTCCCTCCTGGTTAACATCCACTTACCAAAAAAGTGGCATTTCCTCCTTTAGTAGGTAAGGTATGAAGAGAAGGGAAAAGCGGGGCAATATAAGTGCATCATTAGATTCACAAAAATGCAAGAGAGAAAGAAAAGAGCGAGAGAAGGAGACAGAGACAGAGCCAGAGAGAGGAGAAATAAACCAAACCAACTCACTTCTCCTAAGGGTTAGGAGGGAAGGGAGAAACCACCACTCAGGCCCCACGTTGGGCTCTTGCTGATGGGTTCGCCTGGCCCTGGGGGTCCAGCACGTAGCAGCTCCCAAAGATGGGAGGGTGGGGTTTCCTCCCCCCCTCATCCTTGCAAATGCCACTGGAGCAAAAAGAGGGATGGAAATGGCTCTTCTAACCACCACCAAGCCAGCCAATCTGGCCCAGGGGGCTCTGAGGGTCTTCATTGCCCAGTCACACAGCCTGGCATCAGTTCCCTGGTGGTCCTTAGGGGTGGAAGTCCAGCCAAGAGAACTAACAGGTTCTCCCTGCCACCTCCTCAATGTCACTTTTCTCCCCCCCCACACACACCCAAAAAAAAACCCCAGCAGGTGAGGCTCCAAGGTGGGAGGCTGGGGTCTGCCAAGATGCTGCAAAAGGGCTGAGAGGCCACCATGTCCCCAAGCAGCCCAAGGTGGGGTCACACATCTGCTCTGCACCCCACTGGTGGCACGTCCTCCATCACCTCCTTGTCCCCACGGATCAGCCAACCCCTCCAGCTGCAGACCTGCCAAAACTGGGGGATTTAGGGCTTTGGTTTTTAACCATCTGCTGGTGTTGTGACAGCTCCAGAGAGAAGGGGGAGGGGGGGTGGCAATGGCCAGCCCTGCCCAAATTGCTCTGTGAGTCCTGGGGCACATGGACCCCTCCAAGGGGATGTGACAACAACCCTGGGATCTGAGTCTGGCCCTGGCCAGACAGGGAAAAATAAACACAGAGATGAAGAAGAAGAAGAGGAAGAAGAGGAGAGGAAAAGAGGGATTTCCTCTTTTCCAGCATGGAATTTCGGGCACATTGTGGGATTCCCACCCAAGCCCTGGGATGGGGGCAGAGGGATCTCCTGCCCTGGCAACAAAAGGAAAAGTCATCCCAAACCATTCCAAATGGGCAAAGGCCCAGCCCAAAAGGGAAAAAAACCCCACCACACTCAGCTTGCAGGGCTGGGATGGCCAGGGCTGGGACATTGTCCCCTGCCCCTGGGGACCACGATGCCCCCAACCTGCTTCTCCCCACAGAGGAAGGTTTCAACCTTTCCCCATTGCAGCCCCACCTGATATTTTCCCTGGATTGGGTTGTCGTTGGTTGTTTTTTTTTATCCATCACATCCTGAGCAGGGACTAAACCCACACATCTCCCCAGTTTCCTCACTTCTCACCCCATCCATCCACCCTGAAACCCTTGCACCCTGTGTCTGTTCCTCCACCCCCCAGGGATGGGGGGGGAGGTTCTGACCAACTACCCCTATTTCTTGCCAATGATGTTCCCCTTCGTTACCCAGCCCCCTAATTGGGGACACAAAGGGAGCAGCCACCACTCAGCCCCTGGATGGAAAGGAACACAAATTCTGGAGGGCTGAAAGACACAGAAATGCATTCTACCCATGGCACGAGGAGACAGGGGAGAGAAAAAAGGGGGGAAGAAAGAAAAAAATATTACGTGGACAGGGCAAAAAATAATGTAAATATACATAGAGAGAGAAAGAAAGAACTTAAGAGAAGAGCATGGCTTTGCAGCTAACTGGGGGAAACCATACAAATCAAAAAAAATATAGAAATAAATCATATATAGCCACCAAAAAGAGACAAAATGAAGGAGAGACAGAGAAGGAGAAAGAGAAAGAAAGTCAGAAAGAAAGAGAAAATAACATTAAAATCAAGCTACGGTGCTTTTCAACAGGCTCATCTGCAGAAGTGAACGTGCAGAGGTGGACGAAATACCTACCTTTGCAATTGGCAGTGACAGGAATGCAATAATAAAAACAAAAAGAAAACAATAATCTCCACATTTGGAGGGCAGAATGGGAAAAAGACAAGGACTCTTTAGTACCGGTGATCCAGACCCCTCGGCTAATCCCGTTTGTGTGTAGATGTTTTTGAAAGTGTTTCTTTGCAATGGATCTCGTTGGGTTGGGTTTGTTTGTGGGGTTTTTTTCTTGTTATTCTTGGGGTTTATTTGTAAGGTGTTGGGTTTTTTTGTTTATCGTTTCTCTGAGCTTGGTTTTGGGTTTGGAAATGGGAAGGTTGTGGTTGGTTGCCCAGCAGGGCAGCCACGGGGTGGGGGGGGGTTTGCTGGTTGGTGGTTTGTAACCCGGCTGAGGGGTTTTGGTTTGAAAAAGTGGGGAATTAACATGGTGAAGTCCCGGGTAACATGCAGGGAAAAGGTGATGGATGGAGGTGGGACACAGCGGGGTTGGGGTGTAGGAGGGGGGGAACTGGGTGGTGTTGGCCCAAAGGAAACCAGAGAGAGAAAGAAGAGCTGGAGGGTGCGTGTGGGTGAGGAGGAGAAACCTGGGCTGAGAGAGGAGCAGGGATGGATGGAGACAGGAGGGGGTATTTAAAAGGGAAGGTAACACTGTGCAGCACCCTGGGGCAGCCTGGTGGCTCCGGGGCTGCTGGGGGGAGAGGGGGCAAGGGCTGAGTCTGCCCTCTTTTGGGAGGTCTGGAGGAGAGGGAGGGCTGGGTGCTGAGGATGCTCAGCGCCCATCCTGCTGGGATGCAGGGTGTTCGGCTTGGTGGGGGCAGATAACCCAGCACCCAACGGCCTCTGTGGAGGAAAAGCACCCCCAGGGCAGCAGGATCTGGCCACCAGGCCACGGGCCAGTAGCCAATTGGAGGAGACAAAGGGCAATTTGCTCCACGGTATCAAAGCAAGCCCAGCTCCCTTCGGGGTGTGGAGCTGCTGGGTTCCCTTCCCTTTTAAATTCCTCCTTCAAACTATAGAACATGGAAATACAATGTCGAGCGGTGGGAAATATTTAGAAATCACATCTGCTTTGTTTGTTGGGTTTTGTTTTGTTTTGTTGTTGTTGGTTTTTTTCCTTCTTCTCCACATGAACACACACAAAAGCAAAAAATTCTAGAACAACACGACAACGACAGGGTGGGGGGGAAAAAAAATATATAAGAGAGATATATATCGTTTGCATTTCTGTACAGCACAAGGGAAAAGAAAAGTAATAATGAGGAAGGAAACTAAAACAAGAGGGGGGTTAAAAAGCACGTTTCATTGCCCTTCCCTCCCCCTCATCCCTGCTTCTGCTGAGCAAGAAATGGAAGTGTATATTACCGTGTGGGTTTTTTTCAAATGGGAGGCTAAAGAAAAACACAGATGGGATTAAAAAGAAAAAAAAAATAGTAATAATAATAATAATAAAAAAAATAGAAACCAGAGAGAGAAAGAAAAGAGAGAGAGAGAGAGGGAGAGAGAGAAAGAAGAGAGAAAGTTGTTGGAGAAAAGTCCCGCTGGTGCTGGGGAGCCGTGGGAGCTCGGCAGCCTGGGTGATGCTGGGTGCTGGGGGTGGTGGGCAAGGGGGGGAGAGGGGCAAGGTGGGTGTCTGGGTGGGTGCTGGGCACCCCGACCCCTCCACACCTCAGTCAAAACTGGAGGAAAGAAGAAAGCAGAGATGTGCCCCAAAAGGTGGGCAGGGTGCTGGTCCCTGCAGCACCCTGTCCATGGGAATAGTCCCCTGGGGTGAGTGGGGAGCTGTCTCCCCCCTAATAATGGGGTCCCCCATTAGTGAGGTCCCCCACACAATCCCTTCACTCAGCCCTACCTCCAGTCCCCCAGTAGCCACAGCAAGCTCCTTACTGGTCAAACTGGGGCTTGACCATCTGATCCCCACTCAGTGAGGGAGCTGCCCCCCGAGGCTTCACTGGGACCTCTGGGGTGCTGAGGCAGAGCTGGGGACACTCAGCCCCAATGTCACCCACTGTGGGGACACTGAGCCGCCAGCACCAAATCCCAGCCTGGCCTAACCCCAGTCCCTAGACTGGGCACAAACTGGGTGTTGGTACCTTTGTGCTGGGCAGGGCTGGGGGCTGGCGAGGAAGGATTTTTGAGCTTTACCCATTTCTGGTCTGTTTGGGCTCAAAGCAGGTGGGTGCTGAGCCTGGCAGTGCCCTTGCCTTGCTGAGCCCTTGTCCCTGGGTGGGGGGGGGTGACATCTGGAGAGTGATGTGTGGCTCTGGGGGGGGG